TTTAGGAGTGCTAAATTGAACACGCATTCTTTCAAGTTATAGAATTAAATTAAATTAAATCAATTAGTAAACTAATAAGCAAGAAGTTAGTAAATTAAATAAAATATATTTTTTCACATTATTAATGATTAACTAATAACTAATTAGTAAAAAAAGTTAAGTTTAATTGACTAATAATATCGTGATAAATTAATAAGGTAATTTATTCAACAACCAAATCATTAAATGAAATTAAAATATAATTACATAGTAGAAGCACTATTCTGTACCATCTGTTCTGATGCACCATAACATACCATACCTTTCATCTCCAAAAAAAAGAAGAAAAACCATTATGCCAAACAAGACTGCTAGATCTGTTGGGAAAGGCCAAATCATGGTTTAGTAACCATAACTTGGTTGACTGCACGATGTCTAAGTGAAGATAGCATATAATATCATATGAAAATGAAGATAATTTTGGAATTTCAAGTAATTATGTTCGTTCTTCTGTTTGGTATAAGTGGTACCATGTTTTTTCGGTAAAAAATTTACTGAGAAAACAGATTCTTATGTTGTCCAGTTCCATATTTTTTCTCATGAAAAATAGAATTCAAGAAACTTTTAGATTGCGGTCACATTTTTGGGATGCCAAAAGCTACCTAATACATTCAGTTTATAGTTCTCTTTTACAGACACATGTATATTTAAGGTCTATATCTTTAGTCAGTGCACTAGAATTTTTGGCCATATGCTTGAATGAGCATGTTTGATTTAATAGCTTGCTTCTTGTGATCAGTTCCCATATATTTTGACAGATTGATTTGACTTCCAGGAAGCAAAAGTTTTCAAGGATTTGGTGTTGTTAGACACTTCAAAGGGTCTTGTTCATGCCTTTTTTTCTCAACGTGCCACATCAAAGGTGCAATTCTCATGCTCAGGCATCTCAGCCCCTTTTCTTTTTCTTTCTGTCTTATGGTGATGAAGTAGAGGATTAAGTGGATTTTGATATTGGCGTTCCTGGTATGTAACAACGAATACACATAGGCATTCACATTATCAGAGTTACATTGTTCTTATTAATTATCCTCCTTTTATGGAGTGTTTTCACCATTTAGAAGCAAGCTTCTTTGCTGCACTTGTCTAGTTATCATGTTTGGGGATTTACGATCAGTAGTTGGTTACTAAAAATCATTCTTGAAATTTTTTATCTTTTTTGTAAATAGAGAACTCTTCCATTTAACCTGGAATGTGTTACTTTCATCGAATTGCTTTATTTCCATAGAATATGCTTTCTCATTCCACATCTATGTAGATTATTGTTTCTGTTAGAGTGTTTTAATTTAGTATACAACTGTTAGGATACTACCTCATGTGTTGCCTAGCCTGACTTTTACAGTGGTCTTCCAATAGGAAATGAGGGTTAAAAATGAAGGTTGAGAAGGAAAAGAGAGAAGAGAAGATAAATAGAAGGAGAAATAGGAAGAGAGAGCAGAGAATTTAGAGAGAACGACTGATAATATTAGATTATCATTAGGAATCTTGGTACAAGGTATAGGGTTATGTAGTAAGTGGCACCAACTAGCTCATACATTTGCCAGATTGTGCATAATGACTATCAGGTTGCGCACGGTGGTTCTAATATAACTACCTGATTGAAAACCCTAATTAACTAGCCATATTTCAAACCCTAATACAACTAACTTGACATTGTATTCTTGTCATTCACGATGTCTCTCCCTTCTTTAGTTTGACCTTCTACTCGAGGTCAAGATGTGATAATTGCACCTTGAGAAAGGTACAATTTCCCATGTGGTTTCTTGCCCCAAATTTAACCATTTGACAAGGGCTTGTTTAACCTTCCTTCCCGTATGATGGATGGTCCTTTCTTGGAGGATAAATTAGGCTCCACTAAGGCCTAATCTCATTTGTCACAAGTAGTATCTTGCTTGCAATTTTGGCATTCCCCGGGTATTTTTCAAGTCATGGACATATGGAACACCTGATGAATGCATGTACTCTCTGGTAAGGATAACTTGTAGGTCACTTCTCCAATCTTCTCTACTATTTAATATGGTCTATGGTATTTCATGCCCAATTTGAGCCATTCCCAGATGGCGAGTGATGATTGTGGTAAGGCTAGAGCTTCAACAGGACCCAGTCTCCTTTGTTGAATTTCCTCTTAGACCTTTTAGCATTTGCATAATTCTTCATCATGTTTGAGCTTCCAGCAAGTTTTCCCTTAGCAATTTATCCTTTCCTTCCCTTTCTTTGAGCTATCATTCCAACGTGGCGGCTGCTGTTTGCCATCAATGGTGGAGGAAACCCATAGAGCGCATTGAATGGAATCATCTCGAGGACAGAGTGATATGGTATTATACCACCATTAAGCAAAGCCGAGCCATTTTGTCCATGGTTTCGGCTTCCTGAAGACTACAAATCATTGGTAGTTTTCCACACATTGGTTCACCTATTTTGATTGGTTGTCAGTTGGGGGTCACATGCGTGCTCATCATTTATTCAGTTCCCATCAACCCTAGCAATTCATCTAGAATGTGCTAGTGAATATCTTATTTCGATCAGACAATGGTTTTAGACATTCTGTGCGACTAGCATATGTGATCCATGAAGACTCTTGTAACTCCTTGAAGCAAAAATGGATGAGCCAAGGGCCAAAAGTGGTCATATTTAGCATACTGGTACACTGCTACCATCACTATATCCTTCCCTTCATATTTTGGCACCTCTTCTATAATGTCCATGCTGATGTGAGTTTAAGCTTGTCGGGGGATTAGTAACGGTTGCAATAGTCCTGGGTACAACACATGTTCCCCTTTATACCTCGGGCACTTATCACATTCTTTTACTCAGTTCTCCACATCCTCTTTCATTTTAGGCTATTAAATCCTTGCTTCAGCTTCTCTAGAGTTCTTTGGATGCCAGAGTGACCTCCCAAAGGTTATGGTAGCATTTTAGCAAATTCTCATGCGCCTTTCTTCCCTTACCACCTAGATTCGTCCTCTGTGCCGAAGAATACCATGGCTATAGGTGTTGGATGGCCTCGATTAAAGGAAAATGGATAATTCAATAATTGCCTTCTTGACTTCCACATCTTCATCATAAAATCTTTGCACCTCTTGAATCCATATTGCTACAGTAGTTGAGATCAAGGTCATGAATTTTAATATCTTCTAGAAAGGGTGTCTGCTGCCATGTTCTCCTTTCCTCTTTTGTAATGGATGGTGTAGTTTAAGCCCATAAGCTTGATAATTCCCCTCTTTTGAATTACTGTATGTACATCTTATTCCATCAGATGCTTGATGTTTTGGTGATCTTTCTTATGATGAAGGGCACAACTTCCAAGTAATGTTGCCATTTGGTCATTGCCATTACTATTGTTAGTATTTCCTTCTTGTAAATAGAGAGAGATTGATGTTTGGAGCTCAAGGCCTTGTTTAGGAAGGTTATGGGTCTATCGTCTTGCATAAGCATCACCTTAATTCCTTTTCGACTAGCATTTGTTTCCAGGATAAATGTAATGCGGAATCCATGATCAACATACAACCCTGAACCCACACATACACCATGGATGTGGAACCCATGATTAACTTGCAATCCGAACTCACACATACACTTTTAGCAAAGAAATTTAAATTTTAAATAAACTTTCCCTATTTAACCCACAATTAACCTATAATTTGGAATTAACGTAATTGGGATAAGATAAAAGAATTGATTAAAATACCACAAGGATATTTTGATAAGTTGAAATCAATCCTTGATGTAACTTGAAGGTTGAAGAAAAACCTCCCAAGAAGCAAGGTAGCCATTGGCTACCTTTTGAATAAAGTTGCAGTAAAGTTGAACTAAAATTGCAGTAAAGTTGGCCCATTTATAGATGTAGGCCATGAGACTCCTTATGGAAAAAGACTCCTAAATTAACAATGCTTTCTCATTATAATGCTTATCTTAAGAACTCTGTAAAGACCATAATCTCCACATGATACATTACATGATAAAGGACTCTTTACTCTTGAATTAAATAAGAACCAAATGCAAGGACTCTTTAGTTGATGGAAACCAGCCATGTTTGAAGAAGAGTGCTCGACAATTTTATATCTGTATCTGTACAACTTTCCATTTTTAATTCTTGTATACAAAGAATATCCGGCTTCCATCTATTCATACATCCCCGTATGACTTGTCTGTTTTTCCTATCATTTATACTCCTCACAGTCCATGATATAATTTTAGCAATCATCTAGCATTCATATCACATCCCCCTATCTTCTTTATCTCTCTCCTCCGCCCATCATAATTTATTGAAGATTGAAACCGTTTTAATTCCCTAGGAGTGCCCTCTTCCTGATTCTTCTTCCCCCTTGTTCCAGTGCATTCCGTTCTCTTCTCAACTCTCCTTCTTTCTATTTCGGCAAACAAACTGGCAGTGATGAGTTTTTGAAGGTTTTTTTTTTGGGTTATCTTCAGGCTTTTACTTGAATGTGGTGGTAGTCAAACCTTCAATCAGTCTTGGAAAATGCTGATGCTCCTTGCAACTCATCTAGATGGCTGTCAACTGCTGGAATGGGGACCGTGTTTTTAATAGTAATGGCATTGCGCTTTCTATGGTATACACAGAACTGCCAGCTCCCATCATTCTTTTTTCACTAAAAATACAAGAAACGCGAAAGGAGTGTGGCTATGTGCAATCACCTTGCTGTCAAGAATCACTTAAACCTGCTTTTCAATCTCTGATTTGTGAAAGTAGGAGTACTGTAAGGCTTTCCATTCACCAAGGAGGAACCAGGAATGAGTGATGTAGAGTGACCAAGCTCCAGAGGAGGTGGTAGGGACACTGGATCACTAAACACTGGATCACTAAAAACATTCTCATACTTTTTGATGAGGTTCGATATCTCCTCGTCTAACTCTTACTCTATCTCACTAGATATTGTCAGCCTTGTTGAGTCTCTAGTGATATATTCCATTGAATAAATTAGGTTGCTTGCTCCAACCATTCTCTTTGTATGAGCTTGGAGAGTCCTTTCTCATATATCTTTTCAACAGTCCCCTTTATCTTACTTCCTAAATCATTTACGGTTGCCTTCCTTCCTAATCTTGACTTGCGGTTTATGAAAATCCAACAAAATGGGGCGGTCCTTCTTCCAATTGGCCTCTAGGATGATGTCAAAAAGCCTAAGGTCAAGGACGAAGAATGAATATAGGAAACTCACCTTCTTCATAGTCCATTTCACTTTGGAGGTGCAGTAGTGATTGAGCATCATTTGTCCAATAGCCAACAAAACCTTGATGCGGGTTATTGCAATCAACTGTGTCTCACACTGAGTGCCTACTTTGCTGTCTATGAAGGAAATTTTTTTTTGAAATAAAAAGTATATATATATTAACAAAACATCAAGGGAGTGTCACTCATATACAAAAGATACTTACAATTCCGTAAGGCAGTCAATCACACGCCTAAAATCTTCCACTCGTTACAAATCATGCCCAAGTAAAAGAGACCCAAATAAATGTCGCTATCTATCTCTAATTTTTTTAATATCACTATCCAACCCATCAAAAGCTCTCCTATTTCTTTCTTTTCAAATTACCCAAAATATAGTCAGCGGTATAAGTTTAATAAAACTTTTCTTTATACAAATGCCATCCCAAGCCCAAATCTCCTCCCTCACCAAACCCGCCATAACCCAATTGACCCCAAGGAGACCATAAATCATAGTCCAAATATTTTAAACAGCCGGACACCATAACAACAGGTGATTACATGATCCAGCCTCCAGTTTACTGTCTATGAAGGAATATGAGCAGCCATTGTCAATGTGAATCAGAATTGATTTTGAGTGTAAGGACCTCAAGACATTCATGGTGCAGCCACTCTTGGTTTTCTGTCGCCTGCAATGAGATTTCCCTACTATCTGTTTGCTGCCTCAGCCACTTCCTTCTTTCTCGCCACTTTGGCCTCCGGCTCTTTTTGTTTAGGGGCTTCAATCATAACCAGCTATTTGGTTTTTGCAGTGGTGCCCAAGTTAGTACCTTCCGCCACGTCTATAGCAAGGGCTGTGGGCTTTTTTGGCCTCTGAGCCATTTCAGTTGGTATTATGCAGGATTATAACTTTAGTGAGGCTACCTTGGCCGAAGGTTTGGTATAAGGAGGGTGTTCAATGGTAGGGGGTTTGGTGTTGAGATTAGAGCTAAGCATGTTCATAAGCTAGACTTAGGGTTCTCTTTATTTAATCTGCTCAGTGAAGAAGAAAATAAGCTTCATCTAAGGTGGGTTTACCTTGAGCATGTGCAACCTCAGCTCTTCAAACCTCTCTTGATAGTCTGCTAGTGAATCTTTCTACCTGAGTTTATGAAACTCCACTGTATCAGCTACCCGTTGGACCTCCAACCGTCTGAATATTTCCTTCTCGAATGCTTGCCTAATCTGTGTGGTCCCCGTGCTGTGACTGTCCTCCTTGGAACTATCGATCGGGTTTGTCCCACCAAGTAACAGGGAAGTTCCACTCTTTGATCATCAGGCACCCATACAGTTGGAAATACTTGTTGCAACACCTAAGCCGTGTGCTTGGATTGCTTGCTTTGAGAATTTGGATATCCACTCTAGGATTGTTGTAGCCGATAACCATGCTTATGTTATTGAAGTGTGGCTAGAGCTCCCTGTTTCTTTTCCCTTCAAGTTCGGTAATAACCTTTTTGCTGCGAGGAATATTGTTGGGCTTGTATCAAGGGCAATGTTGGTGGTGCATGGAACGTTTGAGCCGAAGAGGGCTGGTGCATGCTCATAGAATGCCAGCAAGTTCGCTGCTGAATATCAGCTAGTTTGGTGTCAGTGGTGGTGTTGTCCTCAGTCATAAAGTCTTGCATCAGACGTTCCAATTGAGCCACCTTTTGGTTATTTGTCATGGGGGCCTTTCCTTTGTTTTGTGACTCCACCAAGTTCGACTGGCTTTGAAACCAAGTTGTCAAGGTACTGGTTGATGTGTTGCCTAGCCTAACCTTTACAGTGATCTTTTGAGAAGAAGTGAGAGTTAAGAATGAAGGTTGAGAAGGAGAGGAGAGAAGAGAAGATAGGCAGAAAGAGAAATAGGAAGAGAGAGCCGAGAATGTAGAGAGAATGACTGATAATATTAAATTTTCATTAGGAATCATGGTAAAAGGTACAAGATTATATAGTGAGTGGTGCCAATAGGCTGGTACAATTGCCAAACCGTGCATAACGACTCTGTTAGGTCGTACACAGCGGTTCTCCTATTACAAGGAAATTGCAGAAGAAATATTCTAATATAACTGTCTAATTCAAAACCCTAATTAACTAACTTGCTATATTTCAAACCCTAATCCAACTAACTAGACATTGTATTCCCGCCATTCATGACATCAACTTCCTGTCTTATCAGCTTCCTTGATTTTTCTCTTCTTATTTTCACATAAGACTTTTTTTCTTCTTGTGGACATTTATACTTTTGCATTTGTTGGAGGAAAAATTAATATCTGATAGCATTCAGATGCTTCTACTTCTAACTTGTTTATCTTTCACTTTGAAATTTGTGCTACTTGGCCATCTTTCTTGACCATTAACATCTGATTATTGTTAAATCTAATGTGCGTTATTATTTTTAACATTTTGTAGACAATTGACTTTTAATCTCTTCATTAGTATCTCTTCATTAACATATTTTCTACAGGTGCCAAATATTACTGATGTTGGACTCAAACCGAGGCGTATTAAGAAAGTAGCAGTTATTGGTGGAGGTCTAATGGGTTCTGGTATAGCTACAGCTCTTATTCTGAGCAACACACATGTTATTCTCAAGGAAATTAACTCGGAATATCTGCTGAAGGGGGTTAAATCAATTGAAGGTGCTTATGTTGATGCATTTATTTATGAACTATGTGCTTAAGCGATTTACATTGTATAGTGATCTAATATGCTAGCTATCAGATTGGGCTAAGAGGGTTGATTACCATAATCTATGGTGATTTTGGACAAATTTTTTGCCTGCTATAGGGAGATTGTTGTAACAGAATTTCTATAAAGATAATAGGAAGGTATATAATGAGCCAGCTCCATCTCAAGAAAAAACAAATATTTGTAAGGAATTAAGCCTGAATATTTAGATTATTGGTTAGATAGGATAACTGATAATTTTCTCTTCTTGGATTGGTTTGGGGGGGGGGGGGGGGGGGCTGGAGGCTTTTCCAAGAGAGAATACATTATAGAACAATTCCAGAATATTTCTAGGAATCAACCCATGGTGGATGGTGTGGATATTGATCTTTTTGATCTTCTCATTGTAGTTTTGTACATGAAGATATGTCAAACTCAGCTATAAGAAAATTTGTTCTTATCGAGTGCAAATCGTTTGACGTGGTTTGTGAGGGAAAAAGTCTTGATGG